GTGGCGCTCCGGGATCCAGACCAGGAGGCACGGGCAACCAAAAACCAGCCGGCGTGGCACCCCCATGGCCACCCCCCCAAAACATCCCAAAACATCCGAAATCGGAACCGGAAAGCTCGGGACTCGGAAGGTTGGGCACCCAGGCGCAAGAGGAGCTCATTGGCGCAGCCCAAGCTTTCAGCTAGGGAAGAACAGGGTAGTGAGAACATGTTGTGGGGAAAGTAGAAATTCCTCCCATGTGGGTAACTGAAGGTGACAAAACCTAATAGGGAATTGTCGCGCATTTCCGGGATTGCAGGTCCAGGGTAACCCGTTTTTGTTTCTTTTTCTACACAGCCTCCAAAAATGAGCCTTTTTCAAAACACTCATCTGAAGGCAGGTTCCCTTCAAATCTGAAGCCCGTCGACAAAATCCACGTCGAATTCTCGGGTCGCGGGTTGACATGGTCAACCAATTTGCTTCACCACCCCTCAAAGGATGCAAGCTGCATGCATTCCAGGAATAACCCCCTGTGCTAAAGTCCTTGCGGGCTTATCTGCAAATGACCTGGGTTGCGCCGAACCAAAGAAGCAGACCAAACCAGAGCAGAACATTGGTGACGAACTGGTTCCGTCCTTTGGTTTCCCTCTACCTTGCAGGTTTTCTCTTCGGTTTCTCAAGGAAAAAACCAAACAATCAAACAATCAAACAATCAATCAATCAATCAATCAAGCAAACAAACAAACAAACAAACAAACAAACAAACAAACAAACAAACAACGGGGGCTCATGTTTCCACCCTTCCGCATTCGGTCGAACGGGAGCCGGTTGGTCCAGGTGTGTTACAGGGCTGTGGAAGCCATCGCCAAGCTGCACGAACACGTCCCTGGAGATTTGGCCGTAGTGCCTGGGACGCCTGAGAAGCGAGCGACCACGCACCGTCAATGACAGGGAAGCAAGAAGAGGGCTACCCACCTATCTATCTATCTATCTATCTATCTATCCATCTGTCGATCTATCTGTATATACATAATATATATATATATATATTATATACATCTACACATATATCATTTTATCTAGATCTATATATGTATATATGTTCGGGGGGGGGGGGTACGTGGCCCAGCAACTTCCATATATGTTTGATGGGTGTGTGTTTTCTGCTTTTTCGAGGGTACCCTTTTTGGCTTGGCTTAAAGGGCGACTCAAGCTCGGGGGGCATGGGTTTCCAGAGTATTCGGGTCTTGGTCATGAGGGACTTGGGAGGGACACTATTGGGCTACCAAGCTTGGGGTCTTTCGGACTTTGGGCCTGGGTCAAAGTAGGCCGTTGGGCTTTCAGTTTTCAGACGCCCACTTGGACCTTGGTTTTGCCCCTTTCCCCAGCGATCTCCACGCACCCTCGTCCAGGTGATCGCCATCTCGCAGATGCTGATGGAGAACAGCGGCGCGTGCCTTTGGCCGAATGGGTCCTACCGCTCGGGGGGCCCCTGTTCGGGGGTGCCCGTTGGTTTCCCTCACAATCGGAGCCCCCCAAATTGGTGGCATTGTCTTTGCTGCCCCTTTAAGACCAACCCAAAGAGGGTAGTATCGAGCGGGTGCCCCATACCTGTTTGGCTCCAAATGTGGTTTTATTGAACCTCCATTTTAGTTCTGCCCATTGGACCTCCTTCAAATTTGTTTTGACATAGGCCCCTTCTTGGTGATTTGCACCCCTGGTTCTTGTAGAGGACAAGTGGGGGTGGCCACCCCGGAACCACCAAGCCACCGGACCCATCGGGAAGCTGACACTTGTGCCCTCCCAACCGCCTGCTTCCGAGGTTCGGCTGGATGGACAACCGCAAGGCAGCCCTTCAGGCGCTGATTGCCACTGGCATCCGGGACGAGGAGGGGCTCTGGGTCCTGGCTTTTCTTGTGGCAAGCGATCTGCGCTCGAAAAGTTTGTGTTTTTTGGCAGGCGTTGGTGGCTGTGCTCGCGGGCTCCTTGGCGAAAAGACCTTAAGAGGAGTTAGAGGGGTGCAATTTTCCGTGGCTTCATGACATTAGTGACATGCGTGCTTGCATTTCCAGTGTGATCTCTCGTCACATGCCAACATTCGCGCCTGCACTTTTCCCTGCGCACCCCAAAACCAGCTGAGGACATTTCCATCGTCTGCGGGATGGTGGCAGCCTGGAATCTTGCGCCGCGGAGCGGCGTCTGCTACTGGGCACCGCAAGTAGGGCCATTGCTCATGCCTAGGCTGAAGCTCCAGTGGGCGGTGCTTGCGCTTGCGTGCAGTAAGTGGTTTGCCACAATCCAAGAGGCCACAGTGCTGAACGGAAGTTTCCAGCCAGAACTCGCCTGAGTCGTTGAGGCTGCTGGAAGCCTTGCATTGTGTAACTCCTGAGGAGCGCGGGCAAGGGGGGGCCTGTGCCTGAGCCAATCGGGCTAATGGCCTGACTTCCAGAACGCACAGGGCTGATCAAAGGCAAGCCGCAAGTTCCTTTTTTGGGTTCCGCGCTGTGGCCCCCTTTTGTAGTGGTTTCTAGGGATTCTGGGGTTGTGGAAAATAGCTCCGAGGAGAGGGCTCCCCCCAAAAACTCAGATCGGCCCTTGACCTTTTGGCACAGCGCTTTTGCCCCCTCAAGCCACCCTGTTAGCTGGGTACAGAAGTGTGGCCAGAAGGTCGCAGCACTTGTGGTTGGGGCATCGGCACGTCTCCCTCCACTCTTTAGATGCGCAGGAGTGTAAGTGGCAGCTGGTGGATGTGCTGGTGGCGAGCCTGGATGACTATGCATCTGAGGCGGGGGACGGTGCAAATGGACTCTTGCACTCATGTGGCTATGAGTTTCAACGGTGGGATGGTATGCAGATGGACAAAGAGCATAGAGCCTTCCAACTTCCAAGTAAGTTTGCCAGATGAGTCTCATCGGACCGCCTTACTACAGGTGCGGTTAGCCGCTCTGCAGCTGTTGGCGACCCTGGGTGAGCCTCACACCCATGCGGTTGCCGAGAGCAGCTTGCTTCAAATATGGGTTGGGACATCTACCGATGTGCAGCACACTGGTTGGCACAACCCTCAAGAATTGGTGTGGTGCAATACTGAACATTGGGAATCTGCTTTATCCCACGCCTCCAGTGGTGCGTTCCCTGCTTTTTTTTCCTCAGAAGTGCCCTTTCAGCCTTTAAAAGCAACGACCCCAAAACGCTTGATCGTTTTCCCACCTGGCCACCGGTAGGGGGTCTTGGGTTGGAGTGTCGCCGCGGCGTTGCTTTGCAAGCGAATGGGTTGTCCAAGTTGCCGAGTTGCTTAGGACTTCGAGATCGACACCCCGACGTGAAATTCCTCGCTTCGCAGGCGCATTGCAAAGTCTTTTTTTTTTTTAATCTGCAGGTCTAGTCCTGGTCGTTGGGCGCATGGCTGTGAATGGCACGTAGCAATATTCACTTTGCATGGCTTGACATGACAAACTGTGCCGCAGATGCTTGCCGAATGGGGCTGCGAGACTCCGGCAGAAACACAATCTTTCCGAAATAGACGCCCGGCATTTCAGGACTTTTGGCCTTGATTTGCGGCTGTCGGGGGGTGCTGAAGAGTCTTGCGGTTCCAAATGCTAAGGAGGAACAGAGTATAGACTTGGAGAATGATGTTGGCACCTTGGCAAGCAAGTGCTGAATTGACATGTTTGGCCTTTCCTTGCTCAAGGGCGCTTGCCCTTTTTTGTCAATGTCGGTTGGGCATTGTAGGCATCGGCCGCAGCCAAAGTGAAGCTGCACAGAGTGATTAATATGCGAGTTTCATTCCTCGCCTGGCAAACTGTACTGCAGTTTCCTGGTGAAATTCTCAAGCATTGGAAAAACACATATGAGTCTCTGGCATGAACGCTGAATATTTTTGTGAAGGGCAAGCAAAGCACCATTTCTTATTTGGTTTACTTTTTTGTTTTTGGTGGGGAGAGAATGAGAAGCAGGCCCATCCGCTCATTGAGAGCCCCAAGTTGCCTCCCAGCGGATATCCGGTTACTGGCGAAGCCAGAAGCCAGCAGAGTGCGGTCTGCGCTCGCCCCTTGCAAACGCAAGGGGGCAGCGATTCTCGGGTAAAACGGCATATCTCGACGTAATTTTCAGATTTTGGGTAAATTCGAATTAAAGCGATCCTTTGCGCAAATTTTGGCAGGGCCCCCTAAAGCAACTGCACGCCATTTAAGGCTCAACAGTTGCTTTTGGGTGGGGGAAACCCTTGAAACCAACATTTAGAGGAGCATTTTGGAGGGTTTCACTTGAATGGATCCAGCTTCGCGCATGGAGTTCGTGCGCGGCGCAGGGAGCTGCTTCTGTAGGACTTGCTGCGGCGGGCTGCAGTGGCTGCAGGCTGCAGACGTGATCCGCTCTTGCTCCTCACGGTAACATGGAATGCGACACATCACGTTGAGAAGAAGCTGCCTTTTTGGGACCCGCCTTCTTTTCCGGTTCCATGTTAGTTTTGCAGGGGGGCAACATTTCTACTTGCCCCTGAGTGAGCACGGTGACGTTTTGGTTCAATACTCGCCGCGGTACATGAGAGTGTGACAACTTGTTGAAAAGGAGGGGTAGAAGGTACAGTAGCTAGGCTTTGTGAGTTAGGTGCCTTTTCCGCCATGCATGTGAATCCTAATCAATTAATCAATTACCAGCAGCCTAAGCTGAAGCCCTAACCCTTCCCCAAATCGCTTTATAATCACATTTCTTCCTACTGGTTCTTCCATGGCCTCCACATGTACTTTTGAAGTTCCGCAAAACATAAGGGTAACACTCACACAAAAAGTTCAACCTTGTTCAATCAAGGAAGTAAAGGCCAAGGGCTAACCTCCAAACTGGTTCACTTTCTTGTTTTTTTCCTTTTTTTTCCGCCAAGTTGCTATATCACATGAATGCCGCGTACCCCATTGTCCTTTGTCCTTTGGGGGCAGTGGTTGGGAGGAGGTACATCTTGCGCCAAGCCTGTGCACTTCATAGGAAGCACTCGGCTTCACCCGGCGCCTTGCGCCCTCCGTCGAGCGATGGGCGGCAAGGGCAAGAAGGGCTTCAAGGCTCGGTGCGGAAGTCGGTTGGGGTTTTGGTAGGACACAACCGCCCGCCTTCATCAGAACTTCCTCCAGAGCCGCCGGATCTGAGGGCGACTGTGTTGGCCTGGTGGCTTTAGGATCGGCAGGTTTGACGTTTTTTTTTCTTGGTGTCTCTTCCTAAAACGTGGATTGCAGGCAGCCAAGGCCCAAACAGGGGCTCGGCTTTTCCCATATGGTGGAGACATGGCCTCTTTGGTCGAAAATCGATCTCGGTTTCTTAGGGTTTGGGGTTGCAACGCGGCCGTTCTGCCGGTCCCTGGCACGGGCCTCTCTTCTGTTGGCTTTCCTTGGGCCCCGCGCTGGTGCCAGGGGGGCCGCAGCTTCGGCGGGTTTGGACCCCAGGGCGGCGGCAAGGCAGGAGAGCCATGGAGAGGTGGCCACAGGGATTAAGCTCCGGAAAAGCTGTGGCCCTTGCGAGTGGCTTTGGCCCAGGTTTCAGGCTTGTATTCATTTTTTGGGGCGGGAAGGCCGGCTTGTGTTAGGTTAGCCTGATTTGGTGGTTTAGGATTGGCGAGGATTTGGATTTGAGCCCCTTGCTAGAGGGTGAATGGGAAGCCACCGAAACACCAAGTATAGCGGGAAGCTGACTGTTTGCTCGAATTCGGGTGCCTGGAATCAGGTAACCCGTAAGTTGCGGTTTGGGGGTTTGAACGCCTAACCACTACACCACCGGGCTCCAACCCACCAATTCGAGGGAGGCTGATGGAAGGAGGTGCTCGACTTGGAACCCGCTCCTGGCAGGGGCTCCTGCAGGTTCCTCACACGCCAGTGCTCGAGGCAGGGGTGCTGGACGGGGGTGCCATTTTTTTTGGGGGGCCCATCAAACGGTGGTGTTCCGTTTTTGGTCCTTTTAAAGCCAAAGTAAAGACAGGGGTAGTCTCAAAGAAAAGCCCACACACACATACACACCCAACTGGTTCTTGATCGAGATTCCGTGGCTTCGTCCTGGCACATGCTCTGGTTGGCACTCGTTTTCTTTCCCACCTTTCTTGAACCTCCCACAGTGAGGCTCCACCACTCTACAACAAGGCGCCGATGAACCATGTGCCAAGGGCCTGCGAGCTTCGCGGGCAGCAGGCGCCGCTAAGGGATTGAGACCACAATCCCTGTGCTTCCAGGCAAGCCACTATAGTAGGCAACCAGGAGACACCATGGCGTAAAACCTAGAGTTAGCCATACCGAAGGGTTATCTACTATAGTGGTAACTGGAAGCATTGGGCATGACAAAATGACCCACAAAACAGGAGTTTTGACCCTGGCATGGACTCCGGCCAATTGTTTTAGCATTCAGCCCGTACAGCCCCTCCCCGAACTTCTCCTTTGGTTTCCTGCGCGGCGGCCTCTATACAAGGCCTGCATTTGGCTTGGGGTAGGTTCTGCGGTGGGGGAACTATGATGTCCTATGATGCCGCTGGGATTGGTGCAACTTGGCCTTGTGCCAAGTGGCTGAGGAGGCAGACCTCATCACGAGTCATCGGCGGCTGCTCCACTTCTGGAAAACGTGGTGGCCCGAGCAGCGAGTCCTCGCGTTGTCGCTGTTGGCTTTGACGGGGTGATGCGCCTCCCACAACTTTCATGCACTGCTGCTGTTTGGGGCCAAGAGATGCCGAGCGGCAAAGCCGAGTCTGCAGCTCCAAAGTTTGCTTCAAAACAGGGAGGCTCCCCAGATTGGTGGTTTCCAATTCCCTTTAAACCAACCCCAACAGGGTATTTCCCAAAAGACTGTTTTTGCACAGACTTAGTCAAACTTTTCAGTAGCCCAGTCAAGTTGCCAGAAAACAAACACACAACAAAACATAGGGGTAAACTTTGATTTCAGTTTGGGGTTAGGAGGCATCGCCAAACACATAGCCGCGTTTTGCTGACTCAGGTCGCCCTACTTCATTCACGAGGCGCGTGTGGATGTGGGTTTTGTCAAAATCGGATCTTAGCCGGATTTCGGCTTTCCTTTTGGTCTTCCTTGAAACCTGTTGATGTGCTTGTGTCCCATCACAGGTACTTCGCCAGGTACCATGGCCTTCTGTCCTTCTTGTTTGTTGATTCGTCCCCCCATGCTCGCACCCATCAGTCGGTGGTGTGCCCCAAGCCCAGGCAGACAAGTCCCGCAGGTGGCGGCTGAAATCGCAGGGGCCCAAGACAGAGGCTTAGAATGTTTAGAAGCAGCCCAACGAGCAGCGGCGACGGTTCCGAGCTGGTGTTGCTTGGGATTCCCACCAGCCATCACTTGTATAAAACCGTGTAGGACCCAAAGTCAGTGGCTTCAGGCGCCGCTCAAAGAATGAACACAGATCAATTTTTGCTTCTCCCATGCAATCCCCCTCCCCTCCCTGGCAGTTCCCAGTACCATTTGTGTTTTCTTTATAGTAGCATTTGCTGCTATGCTTGATTGGGGTGTTCTTTTTTTTTCCCCTGTACCCCCTCACTGCTACGACCAAACTACCCACCCCCTGATCCCCCCCAAAAAACCAAAGGATCGGTTTTTCTGGTCCAATTCGGGGGACCCGTGCGACGTGCGAGGACCGCACCGAACGCGGAGGACCAGCCCCAAGCCTAGCCTGGGCCAATGAAAGCGACCTTCTGATTTGGCTCTTTGATTTTGTAGTTTTGGGGGCGGCGCTACTTTTTTTTTCCGCTGCCATCCCGAGGTTCAACATGTGAGAGTATCACGTGAACGGACCCAGAAATCACAGAAACACTTTGTCCCCTTTGAAGCAAGCATGTCCGCGAGGTTGCTTGCTATCGTGAAGGCTGGTGGCATGAGACGCGGCCTCAGGCTTTTTTGCTTCCGGTTTTGCTGCAGTCTCGCTTCCCAGCGTGCGCTTCTCTGTGTGTTTGCTTGCTTGCTTGTTTGCTTGCTTGTTTGGTTTGGTTTGGTTTGGTTTGGTTTGTTTTGTTTGTTTGTTTGTTTGTTTGTTTTTTGAGGGCACCCTTTTCAAGGGTTAAGGGTGGTTTAAGGAGGAAGCCAAGAGAAGATCTGGCTGTGGGCAGTCCTCCGTGTTTTTTTTTTTTTTTTTTGTGGTGGCGGGGGGGGTTCTGCTGACATGGGCATGAGAAAAAGAACAAAAAAACAAAATACAAGGGAGCAACGTGTTTCGGACGCATGAGGCTCCAACTACTTCCCCATGGAGCTCCAGACAAGGATGGGAGCGGACAGATGCGAATCGTGCTCGAAAGCTGCTTTTTTTTGGTGCTCTGAGTGGGGTCCCTCTGAGATATCACAGAAAGTGGCCAGCACAAGTGGCCATGAAAGAAAACGCTGTCGAACATAGGTGTCCTTAGGTGAGCCTGGTTAACAATAGATGGGTCCCACTGGTTTACATGGGTTCCATTTTCCAGGGTTATTTATTTCCCCAAAACGCCACCTATGCTGTCGAAGTTTGGTCGAGTTTCGGTGTGCTTGTTTGCTCTAGTTTTCCCTGCCCACGCGCGGGTGCGCACTGTTCCGCTGCTCGGAGCTGACGCAACACGAGTGGCTTTGGGCGCAGAAAGCTGACCCCGCGGCAAAGAGATGCGGTTTGTCTCACAATAGGTTCCCTTTAAAGCAAGTGATCAAGTAGGAACGAAAATGCCACTTTCTCATAGGCAGGGGCAACCAACTCCCACAAGAAACAAATTGGGCCGTGGCCCCCGCAACTCCGCGCGACGCCATGGGGGCTTTCTTGGGGTCCTTTTGGTTGTCCGATTCCTCTTTGGGGTCCCTCGAGATAGCCACGTATTGTTCCAGGAGCTTGCTACGTTCCAAGGGCAAGGCTGCAGAGAAGCAGGTCCTGGAGGCCCTGAAGAGGCCTGGGTTGGCCTGCACGCAAAGGAGGTCCTTTGCTTGGGGGATTCCGATTCCTTATCTCAGGAAGTTTGGTAGCTTTTTGCGGATGACTCAGCCCCCGGCGCATGAATATGGCATGCGGCCCGTTTTTAAAATCCGGACCACTGTTCGGGAGGTTGATCAATTTGACATATTGTATCCTCCCCAATTTGCCCGGTGGCCCTTTTTCCTTTTTTGTTGGGAAGGGTTCCCCTTTAAACTCAGCCAACAAAAAAGAAGATGCCCTTTCTTCCCCATGACCGCTGGCCATCTGAGAATTCCTTCGCACGGAGATGCAGCAAACGGCCGGCCTTTCCGACCGGGCCGCTTGGCTCAAAGGCAGGGGATCGGAGATTTCCCCTCCGGCATTTGCCAAGCCGCCTCCCGGCAACCTGGCAGGCCTGTGGGTTTTGCCAGCGGTTTCCACTCCAAGCCACCTTTCAGACGAGGCCCAAAATGGTTTTGTAGCGTCTGTCCCAGAAAGCATGAACACCCCCGTTCCCTGTAATTACAACCCCTGCCCCAATTCCCGCCATTTTGTGCCTTTGGAGGAAAGGCCCCCCTTTTGGGCCGTGTTGACCTGCAGTGCGCCCCACGGCTCACACATGTGGTCGCGAGGGGCGCTGCTTGCAGCATGGCGCTGAAGATAGGCAAGTCGATCTCATTGCCAGGCGCGGCGGCCCACCGCACCGAAGGGTGCCCCGGATTCGTAAACCAATTCTTCTGGTGTCCCCCCCGAAATAAAAGATCATCAACCCGGGTTTTTTGGTCCGGGGGTTAATCACGAAAGCTAGCTTTAGCTAGCTGAAGTTTCTCCTTGCGTAAGCAAGGTAAGGGGCTCAAATGCCGAAAGATTGATTTTTTTCAATTATTTGAGCCGAAAAGATTGAAAAACATCAATTATTTAGACCCCCCCCCCTCCCCCCCCCCCCGTAAGAGGGAAGAATTGGGCCTATGTGTCGCCCAAGGCCCTGAATAATAGTTTCCCGGGTTCTCCCTGGTCAGTTCCAGGATATTAAAATAGATAAATAAATAAATAAATCAAAAAAAAACAATGATTTTTATTTTATTTTTTAAATTTCTGGAGGCCTCCAAAAATTTAAAATAAATAAATAAAAATCAATTAATTTAAAGCAAAAATCAAATAATTTAATTTTTTATATTCTTTATTTTTTATAAAAAATTCTGGAGGCCTGCAAAAATTTCAAAAAAAATAAACATATAAATAGTTTCGTGGGTTCTCCCTGGGCTAGTTGCAGGATATTTTAAAAAAGTTAAAAAAAAATCAAATAATTTCAAAAATTCAATTAATTTAAATATTTATATATTTTTACTTTTTTGAAATTTCTGGAGGCCTCCAAAAATTTAAAAAAAATTAAAAAATCAAATAATTTAAACAATTCAAATAATTTAAATATTTATATGCTTTTAAATTTTTCCAAATTTCCGGAGGCCTCCAAAAAAAAATAAAAAAATAATATAAATGGTTTCCTGGGTTCTCCCTGGGCCAGTTCCATAAATTTATAAAAATTAAAAAAATCAAATAATTTAAAAAATTCTTTTTAATTTAAATATTTATATTTTTTATTTTTTTTTTTTAAAAAAAATTTCTGGAGGCCTCCAAGAATTTAAAAATTAAAAAATATAAATAGTTTCCTGGGTTCTCCCTGGGCCAGTTCCAGGATATTTAAAAATTTAAAAAATTCAAATAATTTAAAAAAATCAATTAATTTATTTTTTTTTTTCTTTTCTTAAATTTCTGGAGGCCTCCAAGAATTTAAAAAAAAATAAAAAATATAAATAGTTTCCTGGGTTCTCCCTGGGCCAGTTCCAGGATATTTAAAAATTTAAAAAATTCAAATAATTTTAAAAAATCAAATAATTTAAACAATTCAATTAATTTAAATATTTATATTTTTTAATTTTTTTAAATTTCTGGAGGCCTCCAAAAATTTAAAAAAAAATAAAAATATAAATGGTTTCCTGGGTTCTCCCTGGGCCAGTTCCAGGATATTTAAAAAAATTAAAAAATTCAAATAATTTAAAAAAATCAAATAATTTAAATATTTATATTTTTAATTTTTTTAAATTTCTGGAGGCCTCCAAGAATTTAAAAAAAAATAAAAAATATAAATAGTTTCCTGGGTTCTCCCTGGGCCAGTTCCAGGATATTTAAAATTTTAAAAAATCAATTAATTTAAAAAAAATCAAATAATTTAAATATTTATATTCTTTAAATTTTTTAAATTTCTGGAGGCCTCCAAAAATTTAAAAAAACTTAAAACATATAAATAGTTTCCTGGGTTCTCCCTGGGCCAGTTCCAGGATATTTAAAAATTTAAAAAATTCAAATAATTTAAACAATTCAATTAATTTAAATATTTATATTTTTTAAATTTTTTTAAATTTCTGGAGGCCTCCAAAAATTTAAAAAAAATGAAAAATATAAATGGTTTCCTGGGTTCTCCCTGGGCCAGTTCCAGGATATTTAAAAAAATTAAAAAATTCAATTAATTTAAAAAATTCAATTAATTTAAATATTTATATTTTTTAATTTTTTTAAATTTCTGGAGGCCTCCAAAAATTTAAAAAAAAATAAAAAATATAAATAGTTTCCTGGGTTCTCCCTGGGCCAGTTCCAGGATATTTAAAAATTTTAAAAAATCAAATAATTTAAACAATTCAATTAATTTAAATATTTATATTTTTTAATTTTTTTAAATTTCTGGAGGCCTCCAAAAATTTAAAAAAAAATAAAAAATATAAATAGTTTCCTGGGTTCTCCCTGGGCCAGTTCCAGGATATTTGAAAAATTTAAAAAATTCAAATAATTTAAAAAAATCAAATAATTTAAATATTTATATTTTTTAATTTTTTTAAATTTCTGGAGGCCTCCAAAAATTAAAAAATTTAAAAAATATAAATAGTTTCCTGGGTTCTCCCTGGGCCAGTTCCAGGATATTTAAAAACTTAAAAAATTCAATTAATTTAAAAAATTCAAATAATACAATTAATTCAATTATTTATATTTTTTATTTTTTTTTTAGATTTTTGGAGGCCTCCAGAAATTAAAAAAAAAATAAAAAATATAAATATTTAAATTAATTGATTTTTTTAAATTATTTGATTTTTTTAAATTTTAAAATATCCTGGAACTGGCCCAGGGAGAACCCAGGAAACTATTTATATTTGTTAATTTTTTTAAATTTTTGGAGGCCTCCAGAAATTTTAAAAAAATAAAAAATATAAATATTTAAATTAATTGAATTTTTAAATTATTTGAATTTTTTAAATTTTTAAATATCCTGGAACTGGCCCAGGGAGAACCCAGGAAACTATTTATATTTTTTTATTTTTTTTTTTTAAATTTTTGGAGGCCTCCAGAAATTTAAAAAAAATAAAAAATATAAATATTTAAATTATTTGGATTTTTTAAATTGATTGAATTTTTTAAATTGTTTAAATATCCTGGAACTGGCCCAGGGAGAACCCAGGAAACCATTTATATTTTTTAATTTTTTTAAATTTTTCGAGGCGTCCAGAAATTTTAAAAAAATAAAAACTATAAATAATTGAATTATTTGTATTATTTGATTTTTTTTATTTTTTTTTTTAAATTTTTGGAGGCCTCCAGAACTGGATAGGGAAAATTTAATTGAATTTTACCATTTTTTTTTTTAATTTTTTATAAATTTTTCGAGGCGTCCAGAAACCTGGAACTGGCCAGGGAAACTATATAATAATTTTTTAGGAATTGGATTTTTTTTATTTTTTTTTTTAAATTTTTGGAGGCCTCCAGAAATTTAAATAAAAATAAAAATATAAATATTCAATTTAATTGATATTTTTAAATTAATTGAATTTTATATTTTTTTTTTTTTAAATATCCTGGAACTGGCCCAGGGAGAACCCAGGAAACTATATATATTTTTTAAATTTCTTAAATTTTTGGAGGCCTCCACAAATTTAAAAAAAATAAAAAATATAAATATTTAAATTAATTGATTTTTTTTTTTTTTTTTTTTTTTTTTTTTTTTTATTTTTTTTTTAAATATCCTGGAACTGGCCCAGGGAGAACCCAGGAAACTTTTTTTTTTCTAAAAAGTTTTTTGGAGGCCTCCAGAAATTTAAAAAAAATAAAAAATATAAATATTTAAATTATGTGATTTTTTTAAATTAATTGAATTTTTTATTTTTTTTTCAATATCCTGGAACTGGCCCAGGGAGAACCCAGGAAACTATTTATATGTTTTAATTTTTTTAGTTTTTTGGAGGCCTCCAGTTTTTTTTTTTTTTTTTTTTTAAAAAAAATATTTAACTTATTTGAATCTTTTAAATTAATTGATTTTTTTTTTTTTTAATATCCTGGAACTGGCCCAGGGAGAACCCAGGGAAACTTTTTAATTTTTTAAATTTTTTGGAGGCCTCCAGATTTTTTTTAAAAAAAAAATGAATTCTTGAAAATTATTTGATTTTTTTTTAAATATCCTGGAACTGGCCCAGGGAGAACCCAGGAAACTTTTTTTTTTTTTTAATTTTTGGAGGCCTCCAGAAATTTAAAGAATTTTAAATATATATATATTTAAATTAAGTGAATTGTTTAAACTATTTTTTTTTTTATTTTTTTTTTTTAGATTTTTGGAGGCCTCCAGAAATTTAAAAAACTTAAAAAATATACATATTTAAATTATTTGATTTTTTTTAAATTATTTGAATTTTTTAATTTTTTTAAATATCCTGGAACTGGCCCAGGGAGAACCCAGGAAACTATTTATATTGTTTAATTGTTTTTCAATTTTTGGAGGCCTCCAGAAATTTAAAAAAAAAAATAAAAAAATATAAATATTTAAATTTTTGATTTTTTTGAATGATTTGATTTTTTTAAATTCTTTAAATATCCTGGAACTGGCCCAGGGAGAACCCAGGAAACTATTTATTTATTTATTTTTTAAAGTTTTGAAATTATTTGATTTTTTTTTAAAAAAAACAATAAAAAAAATAAGTATCCTGGAACTGGCCCAGAGAGAACCCGGGAAACTTTTTTCTGGAGGCATCCAGATTGTTTTTGTTTTTTTTTTTTTAATTGAATTATTTAAATTATTTGACTTTTTTTAATTTTTCAAGTATCCTGGAACTGGCCCAGAGAGAACCCGGGAAACTATTTATATTAACAATTTGGAGGCCTCCAGATATTTCAATAGAACTAAAAAAATATAAATATTTAAATTATTTGAATTTCTTTGTTTTTCTAAATATTGACTTTTTTTTTACATATCCTGGAACTGGCCCAGAGAGAACCCGGGAAGCTTTTTTTGGAGGCCTCCAGATTGTTTTTTTTTCAAATTATTGAAATTATTTGATTTTTTCAATTTTTTTAAATATCCTGGAACTGGCCCAGAGAGAACCCGGGAAACTATTTATATTTTTTAATTGTTTTTAAATTTTTGGAGGCCTCCATAAATTGTTTAAAAAAAAAAAAAAAAAAATGATTTGAATTATTTATTTGTTTTGATTTTTTGATTTTTTACATATCCCGGAACTGGCCCAGAGAGAACCCGGGAAACTATTTTTTCATTTTTTTTGGAGGCCTCCAGAAATTAAAAGAATATATAATAAATGTAAAGACTTATTATCTTTTTAATTATTCAAATTATTCATGTTTTTCAACTTT